GGGGATACATGTGCCTAGCCAATAAATGTGATTTCTTTATTTGGCGTCAAATAAAGGTATCTTGATGTAAAGTGCGGCGTAGTCAACGTGTCTTTTTCCTTCAGGGATTATGATTATGATGATGATGGTGATGATGATTTGTTAGGTGAAGTTGCATTATTGTTATTGAAGAAAGCTGGAATTAGTGAGTAGGAAGGTTTCGTTCATTTTTAGGAAAAATCATCATCATTATTGTTATTATTATTATTATTATTATTATTGGAGGAGTTGGGATGAGTGAAAAAAAAAGAGGGAAATAAATGAGGAAACAAAAATAAGGGGAGGGGGGGGGTCCACCAGACCAACCCCTGCACTAAGGGCAAACAAGGACAACTCTGCCGTACCCCAGTACATTCACAAGAGCAGGTTGTCCTCTTGCTGCTGTGGGTTTTCCCTGACTGACTGTCTCCGCACCACCTCACCCCCACCCCTCAAGGACCCCCCCCCCAAAAAAAAAAAAAAGCAAACAAAAACCAAACAACAAACACTCCCGCGCACGCCCTTCCACAAAACTCTGACCCTTGGTCGTTGTCTCCCCGAGTTAACGGGACAACAAATTGTTTGGACATTTGGGCTGTCCCTTTTCACTCTCGTCCTAACGGACGGCGAGGGGCTGGGGGTTGGGCGGGGTCGGGTCATTGACTTGGCTTTTCATCACAGCTGTCAGCGTTTGCCCAGGTCAAGCTTCCTGTTCGAGATGGACTCGTTTTTACTCGGGTTGTCCCCTGCTTCTTGACCCCTTCTTCTTGAATTCTTCTTGTCCCATTATCTTTGGTCAGTTGTACCCGTGGGAGAAAAGGAAAAATGACAATGGCTTTGAGACCAACAATGAAAAAGAATGAAAAGTCATATAAGGAGGAGATTCATGTGTGAAATTTTTTAACAACTTTTTCTCATCTGTTCCTGAAACGAAGTCGGAAAAGCGGTAGTACAACGTTTTTACCTTACCTAATAATGTTTCCACATCTTCCAATTTGTTGCTGTCTTTTATGGTTGTTATAAAGACACCAGCCTGACTAGATGGGTCCCATTTTAATAAATTAAATTGCCAAAGGCAGAAGAGATATCAAAAGTCTGGGTGGTTTGAGATTGCCACTGGTAGGTCCTACTTCTTTACTTTCTCTCTGTTGTTTCTGTCTGTCTGCCTTATTTTTTCCCTGCCCTAGATGACCGTTATTGTGTTTTTGGGCTTTTCCTTACTCAAACAAACAAACAATAAGATGGTCAGTCATAATCTTTGACACTTTGGATATGAAAGTCCCATTTAGAAGATGTCCAGTTTGGTCAAGACGAATGTAAATGAGCTCATTGACCTTATGTTATCTCTGTTATCGATGACGTCCTTTGACATACTGATCCATACATGGGAGAAAGGATGCACTTACGGTCACATTGTTGCAGCAAGAGTGTGCTCCACATTTTTGAAGTGAAGTTCTTGTACAGTCCGTGTATTTAGCAGTTTCAGAGTCATTTGACTGCTGCTTCATGTTAGGACAAACTCAGTTGTGCAGTGGGTGATTTGCATGTGCTCTAATTTGGTTTGCTCTTTTTTTTTCTTGTAAAATATCTTATGTCTTTATCTTTTCTCCTCTTTTTATTTGTATTTTATTCTTTAGTAGCACCTCTAATCTTTGGTGCTTATATGATCTATTTGTGTTGTAAGTGCTGTAAAACCCTTACTAAAACTAAAACATTCCGTTGCAGCAAAGAGTTTTACGCTCTTCCTGAGATTGTCTTCATCTGTAGATTTATGTGGAAGAGTTCCTGTAACTGAATTTGTGTACTGGTGATGGTGGCACTATGGTTAGGCTTTTCACCATTGCTCAAAGTTTTATTGAGTATCTACACCTGTCTGTTAAGATGATATATCCTGTTGCCCAAGTTGGTCCTGACAGGCATAGTCAAAGAATCCCCCACCTCTCATTTTGTCTTTGGGGGGG